GGTGGGTGTTGAGTAATGCTCCCATTTGTGGCCTTGAATGCCTTTCATTTTGCATCTATTCCCTAGCATGATTTGGCATCATCATTCACATGTTTTTTTAGAAGTTAACATGAGTGTTTAATGTCCATGCTTACCACCTTTGAGTGTTCTTGAGAGTAGCCTTCCATACTTGGGTTTTTGACTCATTGGTGTGCATGTTTGCATGAGCACTTGTCCACCATTTTTGGCACTTTTGGCCACTGTTTATGGCAAGGCTGAGGTCTGTCCTTTATGGTTTAAGTCCACCATTACATGTTTGTCATATGCTTGTTGCATATTTGGCTCATTATGTGTTGCCACATGCTAGTCCCATTGCATATTTGTCCATGTTTACTACATTACACATTGGCATGTTTAGTTTGCATTGCATTTGGCATGCCTTGCTTACTTAGCTTCATGTTGCATATTTGACCCATGTTGCATATGTGAGGTACATTGCATACTTGCATTACATTTTGCTTAGTTTGGGGTGTCAAACCAAGCTTGAGAATTGAGGAGCGTTTGTACTTAAAGTGACGAGACACGTCTTAACCCTCGGTCGCCGATGCCCTTGATCTCAACATGATAGGGTGTTAGCATTCATTTGTTTGTTGCATGCATTTACATTAAGTTGCAAACTTGGTACCTTTGGCCATCACGCATTGAAATGCGTGACTGGTGGCCCGAGTACCAAGAGCTGCACTCCCTTGAGTCCTTAGCATGATAGGAAGAGTGGCCATGCACATATTTGCTTGAAAATTCCATGCCATACACTGCTTGCCCTCTGCTGCTGTCAATTGCAGGATTCTACAGGAAGCAATGGCCGACCAGCCATCTTTAGTGCCGACCGGCCATCAGTGCCCAGCCGATGACACCATCTTTGGCCGATAACCTTATTCCCATGGCCGGTGGCCTTTTTCTTTGGCCGGTGGCACTCCACAGCACTCAAAAGGAAGCTCAAAGCAGTTCTGGAGACTTTCATAATTTTCAGAGGGGTGAGACAGTGTAAACAGAGGCAACAGTGGCATGGTACGGGTTTCCGGGCAAGGCGGATCGAGCATGCATCATTCACGCATCCCGAGACAGGGCTGCGGCCACCTTTCTTTTGCATTTCATTTCTTAATTAATTAGAAGTTCTGTAATAATTAATTTAGTAGTATTCATTTGGTTGTGTAATATTTATTCGGACCCTCCGAGCGAGGGCAATTGTGTAATAAGTGTGCGTGAGTATGTGTATGTCTTCCAATCCCGCGCCTTTCTTCCCTTTTATTTACCTGCTTTTAATGGTTAGTATTAGGGCATATTTAAATTAGCATACCTTATGCTATGCATGCGTGCGTTCATACATTTGTCTTGCATGCACCGGGCTCGGCGCATCATGCTAACTGCATTGTATTTCAATCCCAAATTGAATACATGTTATTTGTTGCATTTCACATGCCACGTTTAGAGTAGTCGAGCCTGTCTAGATTGCATCTTTGCATGTGTTGCATTAGCCATTTTTAACACGAACTAGGATCATGCATATGATTACTAACTAGTTTCTGTTTTGGCTCGGAGTACGATGTAAGTATTTATGTTTTAGCATCCTTGCATGCGTGTGAGTGTTGCCATGACAGTATGCTTACC